TTTTTTTTTTTTTTTTTTTTTTTTTTTACTTTAAGAGCTAAATATTCTAAACTTGCAAAAATTTTCAGGGTGCACTTCATTCATCAAACAGACCATCAATCTTTTGTATAGTGAACTTGTATAGTGTGTTTAAATGGGACACGTTTCAAACTAGGTAATACATCAGTGTCCGCTTGCCAATCTTAGATTTAATATTCTGTTTTATACTATAAAGTTACGGAAATGCCAAACTTGTTTATTTAATTGTTTTCTTATGTTTTGGGTGTAATAGTCCTTTTTTGGTTTTTGTTTTGTTTTTTTAAGGCAGGTCTGTCGTTTTGAATACTGTAAAACTGTGATAAACTTTATATTGAAGCTGTATTTTAATATGACCGCTTTGAATCCTTACATGAAAATGTTCTGGGAGTTGTTATAAAAACATCCCAAAGAAGCAATATTTAATAAAACTAGGTTTAAAAAAAAAGCAACCAGTGACACTCACTTGTGTGTATATCAGCTCTATAGACTTCTCAGGGCCTCCCTTCATCTTTAACCTGGTGGGGCCAGTAATTAATTTCTAATATGTGTCTGAAATTTGACCAAAAACATCTACCTCTTTGTTTCAAATTTATTTTCTTCAAACATTCCTAAATTGACTGGTGGCGAACATTCAGCACCTTGGTTGTCTTTCAGTTTAGGATTTTGGTAAAAGAGAAAGAACCCAGTCTTTGGAAGAGACAGTGAGTACTTCATATTAATCAAGGATCCCAAATACTGCAATATTCTGGTCTGTTGAGGATGTGGTAACTTTTCTGTTAGGCAAATTTAGTTCACAGGATACTTCTGCATACAGCATTAATTAGGAAACAGAATTTGAATGCTCTGCCCTTGCATGAAATTTCTGTGGTGTTTTCTTATCTTGCTTAACTTCCCCACCGAAGTTGGGTTATTCTGAACAATCCCAGTTTAATTCATTGTCAACAAAACGATAAAATGTTTTGCTTGGAAGAAGCCTGGTCCAGTCCCCTCACTTTGAAGAATCTAAGATCACATCTCAGCAAAGTTTCCTTTCGGAGCACTGTGTTGTCTCTCCCAGTTGGTCAGGGACTTTGATAAGCTTGAAAGAATGTGATCCAAAGCAAAGGTCTTCTGGTGACTTGATGTTATTTGGGAAAGTTTTTTAAATGATGCCATGCTGAGTTATCCTGTTGCTGTAATATTGGTTCTCCGTTAAATTGCAGATGCTTTGTCTAATTCCATTTTAGATTATTTAATTGAGCTTCTGTAAGTATCAACTACCAAATTCTAGTTTCCAGCACCTCACTGCAGCTATATCATATCTGTTCTCAACTTTGCTTGATTCTCTGTTCATTTCTGGTCCTAGTTGTGGCCTTCTTTGCCTTTCTTCTGTGTCTTTTTCTGCCTTCATCTCCTGCTTCTCGCCCAACTCTGCCGCTATTCAGGAGCAGATGACTAAACTTTTATCCTTCCTTTAACTTACCTTTACCCTTCCGTTTCCAATTCTCCTTGCAGTGGTAATCACATCGGTTTGTCAGTCTAAGAGTCTTTATCAAGGGTTAGTCCTTTTCTATTTGGAGCTGAATTCTTTCTTTCATGTAGAAATCTACATGTATATACAACAAATGTATTTTTATCTACAGAATAATATTGCCTCAAATAATTTTATTAATAGAATTAACTTTTCAGGTATTTTCCCTTTTAAGTGTGGTTGATTTTGAGATGTTAATTGCATTGTAAACATGATGCATTCAGAGTACACTTTTTTCCTAATTATAAATCATCTGAATGCATTGTGCAAATCAAAAGTAAGATAGGATTCAATGAACAAAATTTGTATTTTGATGCTTATTTAAGAGTACACCCATGAATTTGAATTTTGATATCATACTTGGTACTTGGAATTGGTATTTATTAAAGCTTGAAAACACTAGTATTCCTCGAATTTTAGGCTTCATCACAAACCATGTCTTCTGCCTCTTTTGTTATCCAGTTTCAGTCAGAGGGATTGGATACCCATAGAGCTTTTTTTCTACTAGAGGGTTTGGGTCTTAACTTTAAGATGTTTTCAATGTGATTTTAGTAATAAATAAAATTCACACAAGTTTCAGAGAACTACCAACTCTCACTAGTCAATTTTCATGAAGATATTTGAATAGTAGTATGGTTTAGTATTAGTGTAACCTTGAAATAAGAAATTGGTTCTGATTTGCCACCTTTTTTCTATCTGCTGAAATGCCATTTCTGAATATATAGAAGTACTTTCAGAATTAGGAAAAAAGTGAAAACTTCAACAGAACATATCAAGTTATTAGTAATGGGCCGAACCTTATATTTGAAGTTAACTCTGAGTGAGCTAAGTGTAGATGTAAACTAAAATATACATGATTTTGAATTTGAATACCACTAATAACTTTACTGTGTTGCAGTTAACACAGTAACCTGTCCAGCCATAGGATAATTGTTTGTTAGTCATTCTTTGGGCTGGGGTTAATTTGATAACTTCAGGAAGCATAATTTTACTACTCTAAATTCAAATCCTATTTCAACATAAAAAGTTCTTTCATGAGTTTTTCTCCCCAAAGAAATACCTATTACATTTTGCTTTAATATTTATTACCCAAGTGTTTATTATTATTATTATTATTGAGGTTTTTTTAGAGGGAGAGAGAGAAACATCTATTGGCTGCCTCCTGCTTGCCCCCTACTTGGAATTGAGCCCAAAACCCCGGGCATGGGCAACCCGTTGGTACATGGGACGACTCTCAACCAACTGAGCAACACCAGCCAGGCTACCCAAGTGTTCTTGATATAAAATCAGTGTATCAAAAATTTTAAGAGAATTTAAAGTCAGGAAACTTAAGGGAAAATGTTAATGTATATTTCATTGTTTCTTGGGGATTTTCTTTTTCATTTGGTTTGATGGGAATGGACAGTGTGTCTTAAGGGAATGATTTGAAATTTATTTAGGGTAGATTTAGTATTGAGGTTGTTAAGGAAAAATTACCAGAAGCCAACCAGCATTGTGCTACACAACTCCAGGAGTCCCTGATCTCATAATTTTCTATGCATTGCCTTCACTTACAAGTGGCTGTGATTTGTTAAAATGCCTTGCCCAGTAACAGGACTGACTGATGAAAGGGCACATTTAGGTCAATATAAAATAATAGCTAATATTTACCGAGAGCTTACTATTGCCAGGCACTGTTTTACGTACTTCAGTGTGTATTTAATCCTCAAAACAACCCAAATGGGGTAGGTATTAATATCTTCCTTTTACAGATGAGTAAACGGAGGCCTAGAGAAATGCAACTTGCTGAGATCAAATTTAAGGCTGCTTAAGATCAAACAGCTAAGAAGAGGCAACTTGAGTCCAGATCTAGTTCTGAACACTGCCACTTTGCTGTGAAATAGGAAGTCTGGGGCCGGATTCAATGTTTAGACTTACCTCAGAGTCTTTTGACTACACACAATTTTAACATATTTTCCAAGTTCAGAAACTCACTAAACCTAACTAAAACTGAGGTGACTTGTCATTCGGAGTTGACAGTTCGTTGCCTTCAGACCCTCATGGCACAATTATTTGGAATTTAACTCAGACTCCCTTTGGGAGGAGTACTAATTCTCATATAATCAAGAGTACAAAATAATCATCTAAGCTGAAAGCTTCAGGACCAGAGAAGAAACCCTTATCCAGCTCAGGGTGGTGCACCCTTCCAGAATCCACCCTCCAGAATCCAGGTGATGCGTTGTCCACTTTGCCTCTCCCAGGTGGCCCAAAGGTGTTACCTTGGCACACCGCGAACGCATAATAGGCGCATGGTACAGGCTACCACGGTCACATTTCACTAATGCCCTGATTTGCTACAACCAGTCTGTGGGCTTAGAAGCCAGTTACGTAAACTTAGTAGACTTGTATAATGTTAGGAACATGTAATTCAAAAAGTGCTTTGAGCACCTTCTACATCCCTACAAAAAAACAGCACGGACATCAGAAGAGGGAGGAGAATCCGGGGCTGGCGGGGTCTCGGGTGGAACAGAGAAGAGGGCGGAAGAGTTCCAGGTAGAGGCTTTCCCGCAATCGCCGGACAAAGTCCGTAGCCGTCTGGGGTCACCTGAGACTAGGGTGGGGCCGGCGTGGCCCGGAAGCCAGAACGCCCCGCGCGTTCAGCTACGCGATCCGTGCGCCCGGGGGCTGCCTGCAGGCGGGGCCACGTGGGCCGCGCGCCCCGCGCCCCGCTGCTTC